GTCTCGCCCTGAGACCACCATCCCTCCTGCCTGCTGCTACCCTGCCTGCATTTCCTCAGCGGGGCTTGTCCTGGGGTCCTTCAGATCTCTGAGCATCTCGTGGACATGAATAGATATGCCCGGCGCTCTCCATTACAGTATGCAGCTCTCGTGATCTAAATGTTCACCAGGACCTGTAGAATGAAATGCATACACTCATGCTACTGGCTGCTTCTGTTCTGACCACAGAAATTCTAATTTCCACCATCCCCGTCTGGGGTAAATGCTAGACTCCAGACCAAACTTGGAGCGTCTTAGTGTCTTAGTTTCACACTCTGAAGAGCTTCCACTCTAAGATGAAATAATACACAGGACCTATAGCCACTTGCCTATCTTATTTTAACACATGGTGCTGATGCCTAACATTCATCTTAAGCTTATGTCACTTTAAAATGTATTTTTTATAGCCTCAACCCTCTTCCTCCCTCAGCACACATACATTTAGTAGGGAGGAGCGCTGGCATTAACACTTTGTATCTATTTTAATGGCATTTGTCTCTCCGGGATCATAGTTATTGGTGAAGCCTTCATTCCTCAATAAGCTTATAAACTTGCTGATGTTGGAATTTGTTTCTGGTTCATCTTTTTGTCTCTTGTACTTTCCTATGCATCGCATAGAACATAGTCGGAGCTAATAAGGATGAGTAACGGCAGTGTCCTAGCTGGAGCAGACTGTGGTGTGACCCGTTGTTGAGTCAGTGCTGTGCGGTGTGGAGAGCTGGGGGACGCCCGGGACACTTCCTGGCCTGGGCAGGATGTCAGGGCCAGCAGGCGACTCCCACCTGGAGTCTGAGAAGCCCGCTCCGTTGCTGGACCCTAGATGTAGGCCCACTTGTCTCGGAGACTCTGCCTTAAAGCGTCACAAAGTGCTGTGAGCTCCTTAGGCAACCCCTGGCCTGGATTGTAAGAATGGCAGCAGCAGCATCGTGATCGGAGGTTCCCTTTAGTTCTCAATGAATCCAGGGTATTGGACAGGGTGCGTCACAGAACCATCCTCAGGGATTTGGCCAGGACAGGAAGTGGGAAAGCAATGAGTAAGGAAGGGCATTTAAAAAGGCAAGTGGCAAGGAACCTGAGCAGCACAAAGGATTTTCTATATATATATATATTTTTTTAAAAAGGAACATGCATCTCTCTTCTCCCAAAGGCCCTAAAATTGTTTATTGACAGGGGATCCTTCTTGCTCGCCATTCCTTCCCTGTCCCCGGCCACCCCAAAGACTGAGCTATAATCTGGGTACCTTTGTAAAGTTTTAAAAATAGTAGCACAATGCTGCTGTGGCCCCATAAAGCTCTATTTTCACTGTCTTCTCTAGCTTGTAACAGTGCTCGGTAATTGCATGGTGCCTTCTCTCTGCAGGTCTGTAAACACATTAGAAATGTTAACTCTAATTCTCCCGACACCTCTGCGGAGAGAGGGAGCGGTTGCCCCGTGTCTTTGGGGCTGAGCTGTTCGTTTGGTCCCGTTGCATCTCATCGAGGTGTTCCTTCCTCAACGTGGTACAGCTGGTGAAGTACCGTCTGCTCTTAAGAATGTCGTCCTCTGCTGCCACTTGACATTTCCGTAGAAGGGAGGATCAGCCAAAGGATAAGTCTTCTGACCTCAGCACACAGATACTCCCAGTCTCTATAGGTTGGCCAGTTGTTACTATTTTGATTACCGATTAGATTGCTAGACACATGGAAAAACATTTTATCTGTTAAAGGATGCAGAACTTTGTTTCTGACATACAGTTTCTGCTCCTGACATGTAAAAGGAGAAATTCATTCCTGCCTCTTTGGTAGTAATTTATGTGGGTTTTTATTGTTCATTTAAAAAAGGCAGCCCTGGCCAGCTTGGCTCAGTGGATAAAGCATCGACCTGCCAACTGAAGGGTCGCGGGTTCAGTTCCGGTCAAGGGCATATGCCTGGGTTGCGGGCTTGGTCTCCAGTGGGAGGCGTGTAGGAGGCAGCTGATCAGTGATTCTCTCTCATCATTGATGTATCTATCTCTCTCTTCCTCTCCCTTCCTCTCTGAAATCAATAAAAATATATTTTTTAAAAAATTAAAAAAATAAGTCATTTCTTTCTAAGTCTGTTTTTTCTCCTTTTGCATCCTGAAGAATGGACTCTATCTATCTATCTATCTATCTATCTATCTATCTATCTATCTATCTATCTATCTATAAAAGGCTAATATGCTAAGTGCCTGACCGTCCGACTGGTTACTATGATGCGCACTGACCACCAGGGAGCAGACTCTCAACGCAGGAGCTTCCCAGCTGCAGTGACTTGGCAGCGGTGGTTTTAGGGTGATGCATCCCGAAACCAAAGAAGAGGGAGCCCAATTCCTTGTGGGGCCATGTGATTCCACCTCAGCTGTGGGTTATGTTGTTGCTGGGCACTATGGGCCCTGAATCTGGCTTACTGCACACTTGTGTTCGCGTTCCACACTCTATATGACAGAAACTTCGTAGAGTGCCCTCTCCACTCTGGGAACCCTTGGGGGATGTTGGAGAGCCTATTTTGGCCCGATCCCCGCAGGCCAGGCTGAGGGACCCCACCTGCTGGAGGGACCCCGCTCGCTCCTCAGACGCCAGGGAGGTTGGCTCCAGGACATGTCCACCCACTCTCACCCAGTCCCGCCCTACCAGCCACCTTCTAATTAATTTCCTTTCAATGTGCACAAATCTGTGCACCGGGTCACTAGTATTAAATAACTTTGAAAAGTATACTAGTGGATTTCAAAAGCCAGACTAGATGTTAAAAGAGCCTTGTGGAACAGAACAAAATAATTATTGTGCAGTTTTAAGTTTCTTTAGTTTTAATACATTGCTTTAGTTAACCAACGTGATTTCAATTTATTATGCAAATGTGACAATTATTCCATTTAAAAAATCTGTTGGAAAGATTGTGTTTCTGCCACACAATAAATTGTGTTGAGTATTTCATTTTTGTTTTTTGATTTGCTTATTTTGTTTTAATGACAACTCATTTAAAGTAAAAGTCTTTAAAGTGGCAGAATAATGTCTTCACTAGTAATTTAATACTTGGATATAATGAGTTCATCTGAGAGATTTCATTAAAATCAGCAAGGTGCCTGAATACCAAAGCTGAGATGTTTTTAATCACAGAGTTATAGTAATTATATGAATCCCAAGATTTTCATCAGCTAGAAAAGGCTTCCAGGGCTAAAATACACTTTAAACTTAGCACTAATAACTGCATATTCTCAGTTATACAAAAGAGAATTCGCAGGCCAAGGGAAATATTGGAGAGAATATTATGTGTTGAATTTTTAAGGAAAATTAAGAAATAAACTATTTTGATAACATAATAATATCTGTAAGGGTTGCATCACCAGGGTAACAAAAGGGGAATTCTCGTGTGTGGCCATGGTATATAGCAGGTGCATACTTGCCAAGGAGCCTTAATTGTTTACTATATTGTCAGCATAGAGAGAATGCTAGAAGGAACATCGCTGTCTTCTCCCAGAGGTCCTGACGTTCCTAATTCACTGGAGCCCTTCTTCCAGTAAATGTGACAGACTGCCAGTAAATGAGATGATTATTGGCCCCAAACCTGGATTTCTGGGTTGGGTGAAAACTATGTAAAGAATAATTTACTTATTGCCTGGGCAGCGTGGCTCAGCGGTTGAACGTTGACCTATGAACCAGGAAGTCACAGTTCGATTCCCTAACAGGACACATGCCCAGGTTGCCGGCTTGATCCCCAGCAGGGGCTGTGCAAGACACAGCCGATCAATAATTCTCTCTCTTTATTGATGTTTCTATCTCTCGCTCCCTCTCCCTTCCTCTCTGAAATCAATAATATATATTTTTAAAAGAATAATTTATATTTTCTTTTGTGGCTTATTGAAAATGTCAAATTTTTATAAAAAGGGCAAGAGATGGTACCCCCAAGGGAGCTTGTTTTTTAAGAGAAGTGACCAAAAAAGATGCATCTAGGAAGATCTTATAAAAATCTCTCTAAACAGTAAATTTTATTTGACCTATTTTCCATTTATCATTCTTTATTTTTTTTCTGGCTCAGATAGGTACTGAGGAAGGGAGAACGCAGAAGAAGCAGTGTTGTACTGATGACCATGACGGGTGGAGGGATGCCTGGGGAAATGGGAACGGCAAGTCAGGCTGATTCACATGTTACAGGCATTTGGAGTTGAGGGGCAGAGCATGTAGTCACATGGAAGGCCCCACGATCCGTTTGGCTATTTCTGATGAGAGTCAGGACACAGAATTCCTCCTGGAGGCTGGAGTGGAAACATGCCTGGGATTTGAGTCCTGATAAGACAGTATATCTGGTCTCTGTTCTTCTCCCAACCCCATCCTTTTCTATGGTAAACTCACCATCTCCTGTCCACAAGCAGAATTGGAGAGTTAGCTGGAACAACTGTCCCCTGACTCCTCCTGAATATATTATCATCCACATTGATTATTTGCATATTTGAACCTCCAGTTGCTTCCCTATCTCCTGATCATAAGCTTGAAGACCCTTTGAGCCAGCTTGGAGCCCTGCCCTGAATGAGTGCACCCTGGCGAGCCCATGTATGTCTTACCTTTTGTAGCCTGGGAAGACCTGGCCAGAGAAGTCCCTTCCTTCAATTTTAAATGTCAATTAAAGTTTGCTTTTTCCCTTTTAACCATCAAAATAATAAGTGCCACTGTGGAAAACTTATAAGATACAGAAAAATGTAGAGAAACAGAAAAATCACCATTAATACTTCCATCCAGAGAGATTTCAATTTTTGCCATATTTCCTTCCAATCTTTTTTTCTGTATCCTCTGTTATTTATATGCATTGCTCTGCAAATGCATCTTTGCATTATGATTTCCAAACATCTAACAATATTTAATCACCTGTCACAAGCATTTTCCTGTAAACCTATTGAACATTGATTGGCATCGTGAACATAAGAGTGTTATTATCTTGATTAAGTGTTTTGTCATTTGGTCTCTTCCTAGGTCCCCTGTTGTCACCTGCTGCACATTTGGAAGCTAGGATGGGTCTGAGTGTGGACATTTGGAAGTTTCAGCTAACTCGTTGCTTCTGCCTGGAAGACCATCCTGTAGAAGTAGAAAAAGTGTTCCACATGGTGCTTGACTTCGAGAGACAAGACGTGTTGTAGAAAGAAATGGATGAAGGCAGCTCAGGGGGCCCCAAACACATGCTTTCCGTGGTCTAGTCTGGGGCAAGCCCTCCCGTGGGGCCCTGAGGTTCTGGGATGTCGCCAGTTCTGGACGCATGGCTGATTCCTGAATGACGATGGTTCGCCGGGGGCTGCTTGCGTGGATCTCTCGGGTGGTGGTTTTGCTTGTGCTGCTCTGCTGTGCCATCTCCGTCCTCTACATGTTGGCCTGCACTCCCAAAGGCAACGAGGAGCAGCTGGGGCTGCCCAGGGCCAACGGCCCCACAGGGAAGGAAGGGTACCAGGCCGCCCTGCAGGAGTGGGAGGAGCAGCACCGCAACTATATCAGCAGCCTCAAGAGGCAGATCGCACAGCTTAAGGAGGAGCTGCAGGAGAGGAGCGAGCAGCTCAGGAACGCACAGTATCACGCCAGCGATGCCGCCGGCCTGGGCCCTGAGCCGGGCGCTCCCGAGAAGACCCAGGCCGACCTGCTGGCCTTCCTGCACGCGCAGGTGGACAAGGCGGAGGTGCACGCTGGCGTCAAGCTGGCCACCGAGTACGCCGCAGTGCCTTTCGACAGTTTCACCCTGCAGAAGGTGTACCAGTTGGAGACGGGCCTGACCCGCCACCCTGAGGAGAAACCCGTGAGGAAAGACAAGCGGGATGAGTTGGTGGAAGCCATCGAATCAGCCTTGGAGACCCTCAACAGCCCTGCAGAGAACAGCCCAAACCAGCATCCGTACACGGCCTCGGATTTCATCGAAGGTTGGCAAGTTTGTGGATTGGGGTAGAAAGTAGAGGAAGAGGTGTCTGGGCCCAGGCACCCAGGGGCGTCACAGCTGCGGGGGGCTGGCAGCTGGCTCTGGGGATGGCTGGTGGAAAGTTTTATGTGAGCGACACCAGTGCTATATAGTATGGTTTTTATTTTTCAGAAACATCTGTTTCCACTTACTTTCTCATGGAAACCACAGTCATTGAGTGGATAGATTCATTGTTCTTTGGCAGAAGAAAGTAGAACTTCTTGCTTTCATTAAAAAAAGAAGAAGAAGAAGAGAAATACGTAAAGCAAAACGTAAACATAAAACTTTGAAACCCCAGAGGAGTATGATAGGCAGTTTTAATTGATCCCTTCTCACGGGCACTTCTCTCCTGGAGATGGGGCCTGGCTGTGAGGCCCGCGAACAGAAGGGCAGTAACGTGTCATACAGCACTTACATTGGCCAGACACTATTCCAGGGACTTCTTACTTATTAATTCACCTTTTCCTCATAAAGACCCCACTAGTGAATAAGGGAATAGAGGTTCAAATGAAGTAAATTCCCTAAGGTTGCTCAGTGAGCAGGTGACAGAGCCAGGATTTGAATCTGGCAAGTCTTGCTGAGCCATGCCCTTAACCATCAGGTTATATTGTATAGATGGGCCCTAAGGGACACATGGAATATAGTGAGATGAGTGAATGAGCTTTTTCTTCTTTCAATAGGCAAAGAACAATCTAGTATTAATTTGTGGTTGATTGTATCCAACTCCGGAAGAAAGCAGCTTGTCTAGTTTCTTGGAAGACTCGTTAGTATCATCTTCCTTGTCAGTTTTCCCATTGTCAGTGGTTCAACATCAACTAATAATTTGGGAGAGGAAGTGCCTTCAAGGGCATCCAGCTCTTTCCCCTGTTTCGTGAGAGAGTTCATTCCAGCTTCCCAGACATGTCGCTGGGTCCACATTACTCCACTCCCTGCTGGGTTGTGAGCCACCATCTCAGCCTGCATGGCAAGGTGGACTGTTCAGTTGTAGCAAAAACCCTCCCACTGTTATTTATGCCTGTTTTCTTTGGACATTTTCCTGTCTTAGGATTTTTTTTCAACTTTATATGTAAACCATAAATTCATGCAATTTTGCCATAGTATCATTTTTCATATACCTAGAGCCAGGTAAAGAAATCTTTTACAAGACCAAGCTTTTGGTGTCAGGGTTGAGTTGTTTTTTTTTACTCACTTATATATGGTGTTAAAAATGCTTAGCACATTCAGCAGCAAGTATAAGCTCATGGTGAACACTCAGAGTTAGAAATATCATGGTGATGCAGCATCAGATTTTATGGTTTTAGAGTTTATGAAATATTTCCACATATATTATCTTGCTAGCTGATCCCTGGGGAAATCATTAAATATCCTTAAAAAGTGAATCCTGGTTGCCACTGGAGTATGCTACAGAAGCTGCCCACATACAAAGCAATTTCAAAAGAACTTGATTACACATCAGTGCCTATAATTTGGAAGGTTTGCCCTTCTGATCTTTAATCTGCATTCATATTTGAAATCTCCGTCTGCTTTTCTGATACGACAGCTTCATACACAAGGACTCTTGTTCTTGATCAGTAGTGACGCAGGCCTCTGTCCCTGAGTTTATTTGCCCTGAGATATGGCTGACTTTCTCTCAGAGGCACTGGAATCATAGCTGCGCAATGGTGGTTTCACATGCAGCACACAGCCTGCGTTTCAAAGCAGATCAATCCACGTTTGGTGAAAGTCTAGTCAGCTGTTTTCATAGGATGAGAAAATTGGCACAGCACTTTAAATATACAGGGGTGGGTACTCGTAGGTCTGCAGTTGTGAGTATGTGAAACACAGAGTTCATTCTTGTATTACTATTAATTAATTTTATTGTGTTGTTTTCCATATGAACATCTGTAACCTGCTTTTGCCCACCCCTGTATTGATACATGTTTGACTATCATAAGAAGCAGTTTATTTCATTTTTCAACTCTTGACACAGAAGATTGTGGAGGCCATCTTTTATGTTCTCAGCAAACGGGGTCTTGTGAAAGATGCCGCTAGTCAGAGGAAGTTGATAAGTTCAGCGAAGGAGTGCTTTTCAAATAGTGATGTTTTAGAACAAAGTAGGACTCCTGGGACCACAGTGTTAACAGATGGCTCCATGGCAGGTGGGTATAACTCATGATTCCCACCTCAGAGAGGCAGTTGGACTGACTTATGTTTTATGTTCGAGGACCTTTTTAATCCTGAATCACACTTCTCTGATCTACACCTAGTCACAGAGAAGGAAGGGAATGGAAAGGTCTGATATGAAATCTGTTTTCTGCAACGAGTTAGAGCAAGTGATAGGACCTTATAAAGGTGAAGTATATCTTCAATGTAACTTATTTGGGTTTCTAAACATAACCTCAGAGAAATTGAGTTTGTGTTTGGGGAGTTGTTAATAGTCCAAAAGTTGGAGCAATTTATAAGTCCATGGGAAAATTTCAGGTTAACAGCAGGATGTTCCAAGACTCTCAGAGCTTTAAATGAAGGCCACAGATTTGCTGACCCTGAACTAATACAATGAACATGGGGATTGTTTGTGTTTAAAGAAATAATAATAAAAGCCCCTGGAATGCTTCCAGACGATAATAGTCACATAAAACCTAAAGCCAACCGTGAGGCAGGTGGCATGATGACATGAGCGTGGGAAACTGTGTGACTTTGACCAACACCCTTACGCTCCTTGAGACTTGGTTTCCTCATCTGGACTTGGGTGTCTTCCAAGGCCCTACCCACCCCCAGCCTTCTGCAAAACACAGAGCACTGCTTTAACTTCCCTTCTCCTTAGCTTGGCCGAGGTGCCAACCCTGAGGGTGCTCTGCCGCCCACTCTGCTGGTTGACTGAGGGCACCCCACCTACCCTGTGGGATCTTCCTCCATAAAAGGAGGAATTCAAATAGACGATTTATAGTCCCATCTGACTGTGACCACCTTCTATAATTCTGTGAAGCTTACAGCAGGAGAATACCACCTTGGTGACTATCTAATTTATTATGTATACTAGAGGCCCGGTGCACGACATCTGTGCACTGGGTGTGTGTGGGGGGGGAGGGGGCGGGGGGGTGTCCCCTCAGCCCAACCTAAGCCCTGCAGGGAGCAGGCCTAAGCCAGCAGTTGGACATCCCCTGAGGGGTCCTTAGCTTGCCTCAGAGGCAGGAGTGGCTCTTGCCACCGCTGCTGCACTCACCAGCGTGAGCCTGGCTTCTGGGATGAGCGGCACTCCCCCTGTGGGAGCGCACTAACCACCAGGGGGCAGCTCCTGCGTTGAGTGTCTGCCCCTGGTGGTCAGTGTGCATCATAGCGACCGGTCGTTCACCGTTCGGTCGATTTGCATGTTAGCCTTTTATTATATAGGGTTGCTTTAATTCTTATGGGTCTCTAAAACAAATAGGGAACAGCATTTGCCTCCTTTTTCCTTTCCCCAGATGTTCTGTTGGCACTGATTTTCATGTTGGATTCTCGCATGAATTTTGTTTTTTTGCAACCATCTGGGAAACGAAGTTAACAGAAAAACGTGATCAGGTCCTGTGCCCTAGGAGCCTGACTGTTTATCTCCTCCAGTTAACAGAAACTCCTTCTCCATGCTTGTGGTTTCGTTATTCCTTCAGTGTGGGATACACAGACTCTGCATGGCACGACTTTTGGCTTTCATTTTATATTTTTAAACATACATTTGATGTCATCCCATAAAACAGTTTAGCTTTCTACATTATTCCTCTTTTATAATCCAAACATCTGGTAATGTGAATCCTGTGTGAGGCATTTGTAATGTCTGTCTCCACGGGGTTGCTCCTCTGTCACCAGCCTCTGCAGCTCACCCTCCTGCAGTTTTTTCAGGGTTAGTTGTGGCAAGAGAGGGGCAGACACTAGAGGACTTGATTTGGGGGTGAGATGGAGCCAAGCCATGATCCATAAGAAGTTGAAGGTTTTGAGGGCACCCTATGATGTGTTGTTCAAACCAAGGGGATATAGAAATAGCTGTAAAACCTTAGTAGCCGTCTGCACAGTAGTCCCGACCTCCTGTGCTCTATAACCAGGCCTTCGTGCTTCCTGGGGAACGAAGGCAAGGTGTGAAGATACTGAGTCTTTGACTCCCATTGTTTGAGTCTCATCATAACCTCGAAGGAACACCCCGTGACCACTTGGCTACATTTTTTTTTAGACAAGTCAAATTCATTTCCAGGTCCTGGGTGCTTGGAGAACAAGGTACTTGGACTCTGTGCACAAGGAATAGGTCCTTTTCTCAGTGTCCCTTTCTGTGATGCACTTCTTTGTCAGCAACTTTGTGACTTGAGGTAGGAAATGGTTAGGCAGACATTCAAGTGCATTTCTGGGCCCCTGGGGATCTCGGTGCAGAAATACAGGAGTGCAGGATTCTGCATGGTGGGTGGGGCTAGCCTGTGTGTGGAAGAGAACATGGTGCGGGGAGGCTAGCTGACAGGCAGGACGGCCAGAGGACTTCAGGTCCCTCAGTTCTCAGCCAGAGTCTCCACGGAAGTGAGGGCGTTAGAACTCAGCACGCCCTGCCCTTCTGAGCACCCTCACGTCTGTGCACTGGGCCCACCACGTGGGTTCACTGCTAAGTTTTGAACAGGTCTGCCTGCTACTCAGCTCCTCTATCACTTCTCCCTGCCCCTCTATTCCACCTCACCCTGTCCCCTCTATTCTGCTTCCTCCCACACATCTCATTTGTTTCTAATGCTTTGAGTTCCTTTAAGGAGAGAGAAATGCTTGTTATTCTGAAATCAGAGATAAGAGCAGTGGTTCTCAACCTTCTGGCCCTTTAAATACAGTTCCTCATGTTGTGACCCAACCATAAAATTATTTTCGTTGCTACTTCATAACTGTAATGTTGCTACTGTTATGAATTGTAATGTAAATATCTGATATGCAGGATGGTCTTAAGTGACCCCTGTGAAAGTGTCGTTCGACCGCCAAAGGGGTCGCGAC